CCCAAAAATTGAATCACAGAGAAGTTAAGTAAGCGGCCCAGGAACACACAGCAGCTATGTGACAGCGCTGGAGTTGCACGTGCTTTCGCCTCTCCCCAGGAACCTGAACCCACGCCGCTCCTCTCTGGCCCTTGTACCCCCCTCACAAGGCTGGGTCAAAGGTCTGGAGTCCCCAGGAGCCAGGCATCTCCCGAATCTGATGGTTCTAAAGGTCCCCAGGTTCCAGAAGGCTGTTCCCCTTGTCCTTTGCACAGGGTGTTCGGACCTCCGTGGGGGAGCCCCCGGGTCAGCCCACACCTTCACACGGCAGTCCCCTCCCGCGAGCCGTGGCCGACTTTTCGGTGGCAGCCAAGCGCCTGCTGCTCAAGGTCCTCAGCCAGCACCTCTGCCCTTCGGACCAGATCTCAAACCCGCGCTCCTCCCCGCCTCCCTCCAGCCCTTCCCGGGTGATGTCTCGCTGACGGCTCCCGCGCATGCGCGAGTCTCTACCTTGGGGTGAAGCGAGATAAGAGCAGGAAAAGGTCTTCCCCCTGCCCATCAGGGTCTGGGTCCAAAGGAGATGCACAGCGACGACGGTGCCTCCTCCTAAGGGACTCAGGTGGGAAGCCACGTGGCCACCAGGTCCTGTCTCTCCCCTGCCCACCCCCTGGGCATCAACTCGGCCTGCTAGACAGGGTCGCAGTGAGGTTCCTGGACTTCCCTGCCAGCTTGCAGCTCCCGGGATATCCATGCACACCAAGGAAGGAAGAAGTTCAAGCACACTGGACGGGGATTTGAGGCGCGGGGAATGCTGTGTGGCGGCAGCTGGGTTGACTCAATGTAGCCCCGTTAGTCCCAGCTGTAAGATGTGCAGCTCAGAGCCACCTGAAGGACAGATGCGCCCACCCTTTCTTTGGTCAGAACCTCTCAGGAACTGCATCCACCATGAATGAAGCCCCGGGAAGCCACAGAGAATGCATGGGCCTTGGAACCATGCTTGGAATGCTCGGCGGAGCCCTTAGATTCCAGCATTGCCCAGGCGCCAGTGGATGGATGGTGTACCAGAGCTGTTCCCAGTGTGACTGTGAGGCCAGTCCAGGCCTCCTTGGGAGCACGTGCTTCTGTGTCTGGTATATTGAGCCTGTCCGCCCGAGTACTCTCTGTCTAAGAGAGTAACACCCCCCTCCCCAGGATGGCTCACTGAGACATCAGCAGATTCCCTAACCTCTCAGACTCTCTGCTCTTTCTGTGGAATATTAACATGATCGAGTCTGAGCAGGAATTAGGGGTTGCCCAGGACTGGACACTGACCTCAATCTTTCTTTGGAAGTGCTGTCATGACTTACTTTCATCAAGATAACATGTCGGGGCCAAAGGTCTAGTACAGCTGGGCAGGGCACTTGCCTTGTATGCAGCCAACCTGGGTGCAATCCCCGGCACCCCATAAGGTCCCCCAAGCCCTGCCAAGAATGATCCCTAAGTACAGGAGTAAGCCCTGAGTGCCGCTGGGTCTAGTCCCCCAAAATGAAATTCTTGGGACATACACACACACACACACACACACACACACACAGTGGTGTGTCTGCTGGTGTAGGACCTGGAGAGGAAATGCAGTCAGATGTAGAGATGAAGACTATGGGGTGGGGTGCCAATTTAAATAGGGTGATCAAGGGAGCAATCATGGAGCATGAAAAAGATGAAAAAAAAAAAAAAAGGTGAATGGCACCACCAAGAGGGCAGGCAGAAGGAGAACATTCTAGGCAGGGCGAATGGTACTCAGCAAGATGCTGAGGTGTCTGCCCTGCTTAAGGAAAGATGGTACCCCAGTGTACCCCAGGGTGAAGGCCTCGTGCCTTGAACACAAATAAATAATTATCCTGGGCACTGGCAGGTGTGACCCCCCCACCCAACCCAGAAGGACCCATGTCTAAAGGGGTTAACTAATATGCCGGATGGGGAGAAAGTCAAATTTCCTTCGGCAGCATCACACACTTTACTGGAGGCAGAGGGGGTGGGGGGTGGGAGTGAGCTCCCAGGAGGGACACAAGGGCACGAGGTGGCACTCTAGACCCGGGAGCTATTTCTCTTCCCCCGCCCCCCCCCCACACTTTTCTATTCCCATTTTATTGCAAGTTCATAATCCCACTCAACTTCAGGGTCACCTGAGAAATGTGTCCTTTCCAAGGAAGAGGGAAGGGGGTGGGAGAATAGAATTCAGGAGGCTGAAATCTACTGTAGATTTTTCCAAAGGAGCTTCCCACCAAGTGCCTGAAGGTTCCAGGAGTCTCTCTAGACACCCCCTTAACAGCTCCCTCCCCTCTCCTTACCTCTCTCTCTCTCTCTCTCTCTCTCTCTCTCTCTCTCTCTCTCTTGCACAATCTTGGCAGCCAGGAATGTCTGCTTGGTTCTCCAGCCATGGCTGAACCCCTCTGAGCGAGAACCTGAAGTTTCGCTGCACCCCATTCCCCTCATACACAGCAGAGATTGAGTATGTGTGGCTCTCCACCGCCCACACCACACACACACACACACACACACACACACACACACACGCACGCACGCACACGCGCGCACACACACACACACACTTAGAAACACATTGCTTGATTTCCAAAGCATTCTTGTCACAGCATTCCTGGGGAGCAAAATTCTCTCATTACACAAGTAAGTCAGAGCCCAGGACAAAGGGTATGTGTTGGGGATTAGCAGGAGATTAGGCCTGACAGGTAGGCAGAGGCCAGAGAAAGGGCTTCCTAAATCTCTGTTCACAGGCTTCCATTTTTGCCCAAAGAGTACCTAGGCCAAACAGGATGTGAGCTGTGGTTTGAGAAAGTCTTCCCAGTTACCAGAGAAAGGATGGGCAGCGGACATGAAGGCAGAGTCATCCTTGGGGTCTCAGTTCCTCTATTTGCAAAGGGGGGGGGGATGATGGGAGCACAGCCACCCCCATCCCATCGCCAGGAGCTTGTGAGGACTGAAGAGTGAAGGCATGGCCATGCCCCTCAGAACAGCGCCCCCAGAGGCACTTACTGTTATTGCCTACCAAGTGTACCTCAGGAGGCCGCTGCCCAGAAGGAAGTAGCAGAAACAGAAGAATAGAGACTTGAGGGATATTCCCCACCCCGGAAACGGCACTGAGGCCTGGAGCGTGTGCTCTGCACGCTCCTGGTTTTTTTTCAATACCCTGGGTTTTTTTTCAATACCACTTGGTCTCCAGCAGTGTGGGGGGCAGCTCTGGTGGCCCCCAGCATCCCTGCAGTCAAGCAGCATTGGGTCATGGCCAAGGGCAGAAATCATCCAACAGCACAACTGAATATTGACAAAAGGGGCTCTCAGGCCCCTGTACTCTACTTGGGAGGCTCATGTCCCACCAAAATAAAACACAGCAACTGTGGGAGTCCCAAAGGGGATTGCCTTAGGACTGGAGCAATAGTACAGCAGGAAGGACACTTGCCTTGCATCCGGCGGACCTGGTTCGATTCTCAGCATCCCATATGGTCCCCCGAGCACCGCCAGGATTAATTCCTGAGTGCAGAGCCAAGGAATTAATTAACCCCTGAGCATCACCAGGTGTGACCCAAAAAGCCAAAAAAAGGGGGGGGGGCGGAGTGAGGGGATTCCTGTCACATAGACTGAGCCTTCCAGAGAGCAGGTTGACAAATCTGGGCAGTTGGGTGGGGCATTAGCAGCCTGCATGGGGCAGGCTGGGGAGGGCTGCGGTGGGCATGGAGCACCTGGGGTCTTCTGGGCACCAGGGAGGCCAGAGGCGCTTCCTCTTCTGAAGGAAGGCCCCAGAAAGACCACAGGGAACTTCCAGGCCTAGAGAGAAGATTCCATAGAGCAGGAGGAGGACATCCCATTTGAGGAAGAGTGGGAAGTCCAGGGCCTCTAAAACCAAGGCGGGTCCGATATAGAAGGTCCTACTGGGTTTAATGATGAATGGGGAGGGGCAAGATGGAGAAATAACAGGAGCTGAGGCCGAGGCGGGGGTGATGCCAATCCCACAAGAGAATCTCCTGTAGGGTCGGGAAGAGCCCCACGGGCTGGAGTCCAGGCTCTGCATGTCAGAGGCCCCTGACCCCCTAGCACCCTGGGAGTGACCCCAAACCCCAGGCCACAAGTTGTCCCCTGACACTGTCAGGTGCAGCCCCATTCTTTTTTTTTTTTTAATTTGAGAAAGAGGAGAGAGGGAGTTGACTTTTTTTAGTCATTTGACTCTTTTATTAAAATACTTTTGTTGCATCTAGGGAAAAACCATATAATCATGCGTGTTGTAAGTTACATGAAATAACAGTGAATATAGTCTCTTGGGGATGCATTAAAATATATCTTCGAAGAAACTTTTATGAGGACACTTTTTTTTTCTTCTTTTGGGGTCATACCTGGCGATGCTCAGGGGTTACTCCTGGCTCTGCACTCAGGAATTACCCCTGGCAGTGTTCGGGGGAACCATATGGGATGCCAGGGACCAAACCTGGGTTGGCTACGTGCAAGGCAAACACTCTCCCCATTGAGGACATTTTAAATAGCTGGCTTATTTACCTCCGTTTTCAAAAATAACTCAAGCTTCTTTGCTTCATCCGAAGGCTCCCCAGACTTCAGATACAGTCGGGCACACCTGGCAGGGGTGGCGTGAGGGGTCTTGGGATAACAGTGTCTGAGCATGTGCAGAAGCTGATGGACAAGAAGCAGGGAGTGACAAGGATGACGAATGTCCCCATGGAGGTCCCAGAGGCAGAGACGGGACGTGGGGACTCCGGGGTGCAGCGAGTCTGGAGGAGGTTGAGGGCTGGCCGGGAGGGGGCCACTGGGTGGATTTGGAAGCCCGGGAGCAGGTGACACAGCTTGAGGGATGTTGCCATCCCCTGGTGCCACGTGAAATCAGTGACTGGCAGACCAAGGCGCCCGGGGCCCAGCTGAGAGGGGAAATGGTGTTTGGAGGCCGGGGGCGGCTCCAGAATTAGGGGGTGGTTCTCCGGTGGGCATGGCTGAGTCCCCAACACGACTTTTGTCTCCCGCAGTGGGATCTGGTGTGCCACTCGAACAAACTGAAGGAGATGGCCCAGTCTATCTTCATGGCGGGCATCCTGGTCGGCGGGCTGGTTCTGGGAGACCTGTCCGACAGGTGAGACCTGGGGGCCTCCCCCCTAGAGGGGCACAGGCCAGAGGGACACCTGTCCCCTCCCTCTCCTGCCTGTGTATCCTCCAGAGAGCCGGTCCTCGGGGGAGGAAGGATGGATGGTCTCTGCGGAGTGGCCTTGAACAAGGCCTAATCCTTTTCTGCCCTTGTTGCTCCTGGTCAGGGTTGTCGGGAATCAAAGCCAGGATGGGACCCTGGGAGTCACCTTTGTGGATCACAGACTAGCCTCTGTCTCAAAGTCCTGGGAACTTGCAACATCCAGACGCCACCCGGGGGGGGGGGGGGGGGGGGGGACGAGAGAGTACCGCAGCGGGGAGGGGCCTTGTCAAAGGCTCCTTTGGGCTGGCAGTGGGGCTGTCTCAAGGACCTCAGACATGGAGTATTGGCCCCGTTGCAGGGGGGGGGGGGGGAAATGTTTGACCCCTGTTCAGTGGGCTAAGCGGGGGGGTGGAGAAGATCACTCATTAACCCAAACCTCTAACTGCAAACTTGTCGGGCAAAACAATCACCAGTCAGGCTCTGTTTGAGGAGGGAGTTACATGCCCCATCTGGCCCTCGGGCTGGTGGGGGTCCGGCCCTTTGCCCGGCAGCCTGCAGAGTCACTGGCCTTGGCAGTTTCCCCGCGGCTGACCCGCCTGCCCTTCTCTCCCTTGAGCCCAGGTTTGGCCGCAAACCCATCCTGACCGGTAGTTACCTGCTGCTGGCCGCTGGGGGCTCTGGCGCCGCCTTCAGCCCCACCCTCCCCTTCTACATGGTCTTCCGCTTCCTGTGTGGCTGTGGCATCTCGGGGATTACCCTCAGCACCGTGATCCTGAGTGAGCCCCGGGGGCCATGGGGTGGGCGCGAGGAGTGTGGGAGCTTCAACCACAGGGTTCCCTGTTCCCTTGACCAAAACGGCCACCTAAGGCCTCCTGCAAAAGGGACATGACATTGGGGCTGGAGCCATAGCACGGTGGGTAGGGCATTTGCCGTGCATGCGGCTGACCCGGGTTTGATTCCCAGCATCCCATAGGGTCCCCCAGGCACCGCCAGGAGTAATTCCTGAGTGCATGAGCCAGGAGGAATCCCTGTGCATCGCCGGGTGTGACCAAAAAAAAAAAAGGGGACAAAGGGACAAAGGGACATGACACTGAGAACCAGATGGCTGAGGACATGCATCCCCTGGTCATGAGCCCTCTGCCTGCACACATCGTGGGTGACCAGACACGTGGTCTGGAGACTCAGTCCTTCCTGAGGTCTCCCTTCTGGGGTCCTCATTTGAAGCACCTGCAAAATGGGACAAGGACCACACACACACACACCACACCACACACACACCACACACACACACACAACCACACCACACACACACACACACACACACACACACACACCGAGGGCTGGAGCTGGTGTCCCATCACCGGGACGTGCCCAGGGCCCAGCAGGACCAACTCTAATCCTCAGATTCCTTCTGTAGATGTCGAGTGGGTGTCCACCCGGATGCGGGCCATCATGTCCACGGCGATTGGTTATTTCTACACCATCGGCCAGTTCATTCTGCCCGGCCTGGCCTATGCCATCCCCCAGTGGCGCTGGCTCCAGCTCACGGTGTCCATCCCCTACTTCATCTGCTTCCTGCTGTCCTGGTACGTGGTCCTCGCCGGGCCCCCTGCCCCTCCCACTGACCAACCCTGGCTGTCCCCGGCTGCTGCAGCTCTGGTTCCAGGGAGGAGGAGTTCCACCCTGCTGGAGGGACAGGTCTGAGCGCCGGCAGGGGACAGAAGACGGAAGAGAAGGGCTCAGGTGGAGAGCACAGGAAGCCAGAACTCAGTTACTCATTTTCATGGGGGGGGGGGTACGGGGGTGTCTAGGAAGCGACCTTGACGCTGTTGGGGTGCCGGGAGGCCTGATGAGGCTCACACACACACACACACAGAGTGAGAAGAGTGAGAAGCATAGAGATCAAGTGGGTGAGCCCAGGAGCCAGGGCCAGCAGTTGTAGGCAGGCGTCACCCTAGCAGTCTTCGAGGCGTTTTGAAAGAAAAGCTCCAGGTGTGGGGACTTGGGGTGTGAGGTGCGGGAAAGGGGAGGCTGAACGTGCCCTCACCGCGGGATGGGTCAGAGCCCACCAGAGGGGGCTGAGAGCTCGCCATGGCACATGGAAGACCAGCGACGAATCTTCAGACGGTCTTTGCAGCCCAAGGCCAGGAAATACTGAGGCCAAGGGCTCAGTTGCTCGCTCCGTGGTCACTCCCCACAAGGCCTGGTCCCGTCTCTGATCTACCAGGCGTCTCCTGTGTGAAGCAGGAATAACGTTCCCATTTCCCAGACCAGACCATGGAGGCTCCATCCCCCAAGATCACCCCAAATGAGTCAGACCTTTGGGAGGCGGATCCTTCATGCAGAAATGAGAACAGAAGATCCTTGAGGCAGTTGTGGGGGGGGGGGGGAGGGACAGGAAAGGGGTCAGAGGCGCATGCTTGGTGTACTCAGGATCCTGGCTCCGTGCCCAGCACTGTGTGGTCTCCCTGGAGACCTCCAAGCCCTCCCAGGATGGCCCTGGTGACCCCCAGATCTTGAACTGTGTCACATCCTCAGGACCCTGCACTGACCTGTCCAGCCTGGAGAGCTGAGTGTCACTAAGAGTGGCCCCCTGCGCACTGCTGGGCGGGACCCTCTAAAGAGAAGTACTGAGAGGAGACGAGCATTCTTGGGGTGATTGAAGCCACCCGAGGGGCCCTCTGGAGGTCAGAGGGCAGAGCAGGAAGACAGACAGCCGAGGCAAGGGGTCGGCTGGGGAAGGCAGGGCCCGGACCCTTCACTGTGATGTGGAGGAGGCTCCCCAGATTTTCTAGGAAAACGGGTGTGGGGATGCCGTTGTCTGGTGCGTCTGCTCCCCTGGAGTCCCTGACAGTCTGGGTGAGGACAGGCTGAGAAGGCTGTCGGGGCAGAAACAAGAGTGACAGGCCAAGACAGTGGGCCCAGGGCCCAGCAATGGCCTGAGACCAGGTGACCAACATCCAAGCCCCCCCCCCCACCCAACCAGGGCCTTACTGGACCCAGCTCCCAGGTCCTGGCGGCCACAGCCAGCGCTGACCTCATCTTGGGCTAAACTCTTCCTGGGAACACTCCTTCATCTGCTCTCTCCTCTGCATCTTCTGCATCCGGTCCTCCATCCGGCACTGCTCACACTCAACTAATCCCCTCCAGCACAGGGGTGAGGGAAACCCGGGCCATGCGGAGCTGGTCCTTCGCGGGGAGAATCAAAACATCCTCCCAGCCACCCCGAGGCCTGGACGCCGACCTCAGCTGCCTTCCCCAGCCGCCTGGGGGATGCAGCCCGGCCCCATCCTCCCCCGGCACCTGGATGCAGCCCAAGGAAGAGGGGAGGGGAGGGCGACATGCAGGACCCTCCAGCTGTCCAGCCTCGAATAAACATGCTGTCCCTGCCTCGGGCCCCACCTGCCTTGGCTGAGGCCCAAGGCTCCCAGCGAGGAAGGACACCCCAGGATAACAATCCAACCGGGGAGGGGGGCCAGGAAAGGCTCTTCTGTCCGGGGGAGTTGGGGAGAGACGAGAACGCCCACGTTTGTGCTGACTCTGGGCTGCCCAGGTGCAAAGCCGGGCCGCGTCTGAATTCCATGAGCACTGCAGTAGGGCAGCTGGGGTTTTCCGGCCCCACAATCCTGACTGATGAAGACCCCCTGCCTCTTCAAAGGGGTCTTCTGGGAGGCGGGAGAGCCACTGTGACTCATTTCTGGCCCCCCCACACTCCCGCCCAGGTGGGTCCCAGAGTCCGTTCGCTGGTTGGTCCTGTCTGGAAAGTCCATGAAGGCCTTGAAGACGTTGCGGTGGGTGGCGGCCTTCAACGGCAAGAAGGAGGAGGGGGAGAAACTCAGCCTTGAGGTAGGCGCCCTGCGCAGTGTCTGGGGCAGGATGCCTGGGGTCGCTCCGTCTCCCTCCTGCCTCCGCTCCCCCCCACCACCACCCCTACCCGCTCACAAGCCAGCCGCACTCTGCCACCGCAAGTGGAAGCCTCCGGGGCCTCCCACGGGTCGCTGACGGCCGCCCTCCCCTCCCTCTGCCCCAAGGAAATCAAACTCAACCTGCAGAAGGAGATTTCTCTGGCCAAGGCCAAGTACAGCGTCGCCCACCTGATCCGGACGCCCATCCTGCGCCGCGTGACCTTCTGTCTTTCCCTGGCCTGGTAACCCCCTGCTCCTGCCCACACCCCCACCTCCGCCAGGGCTGGGGAGAGGGACCCGCTTCCTGCCAGCACACCTGCACGCAAAGCCAAGGCACCTGCAGGAGGTTCAAGAGCGTCCCTCACCGGCCCAGCCCGCACCATCCTAGAATTTTGCAACGTCTCTGCTCCGTCCACAGGCTACTCTCGGGATCACCCAGGCCCCCCTTCACCTATTCCTGTCCCTACCCTCAGTGGACCCCCTCTTCCCCCGCCCCTAGCTTCCAGAAACAGGCTGGTCCTTGGGGTTCCAGAACCAAAGCCAGATTTCTCCTGAGTCCCCTCTGCCGGCTGGCGTTCCTCGGCTCCTTCAGAGCGACCTGGTTTGGAAAACCTCCTCCAGGCTGGCCACCGCCCTTCCTCAAATCAGGCCCTCAAATCTAGGCTCCCATAATCCTAAGGGAGGAGGAACAGGGCCCTCTGATGCCTGTACGTTGCTCAGCTTCCGCCCCCCCCCCCCCCACATCCCCATCCCATTCTGGTTTGGTTTTGGTTTTTGCTTTTTGGGTCACACCTGGCGATGCTCAGGGGTTACTCCTGGCTCTGCACTCAGGAGTTACTTCTGGCGGTGCTCAAGGTTCCAACGTTTGGTTGTGCAAGGCAAACACCCTTCCCGCTATACTACTGCTCTGCCCCCACTCCACCCCCATCCCATTCTAGATGTTAAACTATTGCCCAGCAGGGAGAATCCATTCACAGCCACCACCACCACCCCGGTCTCTGCCTGTCCCCATGATGTTCTTCAGAATCAGTCCCACTCTGCCACCTTCTCTGCCACCCCAGACATAACCAATCAATCCCACCACCTCTTCCCTGAGCCCAGACACACCTCAGTGTCCTCCGAGCAGTATTCAAGCACACCCTCTCCCATCCATCACTGTCGGACCAGCAAAGAAAGCTCTTCATCAGCCTAGTGACCCAAGCAAGATTTCTTGCTTGGACAGGAAGGAGCCCCCGCTGGCCACAGGTGCCAATCCATCTCCTCACTGCCTTTCAGGTTTGCCACTGGTTTCGCCTACTACAGCTTGGCTATGAGCGTGCAAGAATTCGGAGTCAACCTCTACCTGCTCCAGTTCATCTTCGGAGGGGTCGACATCCCTTCCAAGTTCATCACCATCCTCACCATGAGCTATCTGGGCCGCCACATCACCCAGGCCTTTGCCCTCCTACTGGCAGGAGCCTCCATCCTGGCGCTCACGTTTGTGCCCTCCGGTGAGGGGCTGGGGTAGCTGAGGCAGGACAGCCAAAGCGTCTTTGGGCATCTCTCGGAGGTGGACAACTGGAATGGGGGAGGTGGGGAATGCTCCAGGGAAACCTCACAAGCTTCCCCATCATGCCCCAGGAAAAGTCCCTTTCATAGAGATGTTTTTGTGCTGATACACCTACATCCTTCCAAAGGAAATTGGGGATATTTTCGTACATGAGCTAGCTAGGAATGGGAGTAAGCCATCGGTCCAGGAAGAATATAAATGCCAACAGGATCTCCGCCTGCAAAAAAAAATAGGAAGGGGGGTTCCTGGGCTTAATGATCGGAGCTGAGCTTCCCGGTGGCCCAAGCAAAACAGGAGAAAAAGTCGGCTGAGGAGTGTCCATACCCAGACAGCCCCAGGCCCCAGGGACTACCCCAGTGTCTTCCCTCTGCAGACATACAGATCCTGAGGACTGTCCTGGCTGTGTTTGGGAAAGGATGCTTGTCTAGCTCCTTCAGCTGCCTCTTTCTCTATACCAGTGAGCTATACCCCACGGTCATCCGGTAAGCCCTGGGCCTGAAGCTGGTGCAGCCAGAGGATCCCGGGTAGGGAAGTGGGGAAGGGGGAGGGGTGGGGGAGGGGAAGAACCTGTGGTGTCTTCCTGCCCCCTGCCCAAGCCCCCCCAGAATCAGCCTTCGGGAAGGCCACCCACAGGCTGCCCATCTCTGCTCTGGCAGGCAAACGGGCATGGGCATCAGCAACCTGTGGGCACGCATCGGGAGCATGTTGGCGCCCCTGGTGAAGATCACAGGGGAGCTACAGCCCTTCATCCCCAACATCATTTTCGGGACGGTGGCCCTCGTGGGAGGCAGTGCTGCCATCTTCCTGCCGGAGACCCTCAACCGGCCCTTGCCAGAGACCATCGAAGACGTGGAAAATTGGTCAGTGTCCTGCCTCGGGCCCCGTCTGCACTCAGAGGCCAGAAGCAACCCTAGCCTGAACTTCCTGTCCCCAGGTCCCTTCGGGCCAAGGAGCCGATGCGGGAGTCTGAGAATGACAAAGCTGTCCAGAGGATCCCGCTCCAGCCCTCTGAGCCAGGCCTGCACTCCAGCTGAAGACCACCCAGCACCCCCTTGTTTTCCTGGCCTCCAGAGACTAATTGAAGCCAGACAGCCCACCCCCTGTGCCCCCAGTCTGCCACTAGCCTGCACAGGTGTCTGGACAGGTCTGCGCTTCCTCAGACAAAGTCTTCTGGGGGCTCTGTGAAGGCAAACCCTCCAGCAGGCCAGCACCAAGCTCACGGCCTGCCCTGGGCAGCTCCATGGTTGGGACATAGGCCACCCCCAACTCTCCACCCTCCCCCTCTTCCTCCCTGCACCCCAGTCCCTGATGTTCTGTCCAGACTCTTCCCACCGGCCACTTCTGTCCCATGGCTCCACCTCCCCCACTCTCCTGAACATTCCCCGGACCACCAGGCTCAATCCTAATGAAGAAAACATCCCCTTCTTGACACCCCACCCACCCACCCACCCACAACGTCTTTCTTCGATGGAAGGTTCCAATAAAAAGCAATAAGAACTCAGCCCTACCGGTGGGGAATGGGGAGACCTAGAAGTAGTCTTCATACCTACCCGCATGTACACATCAGCCCCTGTGAACAGGGCTGATACGAACACGTGTGTGCGTGTGTGGCTGGTAGGGACAGAGTTACGCCAAGCTGACATTAGTAACACCCCAGACCACATCACTTAAACAGCCAACACTTCTTCTCACGGCTCTGGATGCCGGGACACCCCACTGAGGTCTTCTTCCCAGCTTGCAGGAAGCTTTCTTCTCTATACGCTCTTGAGTAGTGGAGAGAGCATGTGCAAGCTTTCCGGGACCCTGTTTGATAAAGACACCAATCTCATCATGAGAACCCCGCCCTTGGGACATCAACTAACCCCGTTTCTCTCCCAAAGTCCCCTTCTCTAAGTACAGTCACCCTGGGCTTCAGGGTTTCGACATATGGGCAGGGACCCAGTGCTGTCCATAGCGAAGTCTGCACTTGGAAAAAGCAGGTGTGTATCTGCAATGATAACTTCCTCCCCTGGCTCCCCTCTGGTCCTGAATCCATGCCCCAGTCTCACATTTACTGGACAGACTTTCCTCCCCTTTCACTGAGGAAGCTGCAGTCATTCTGAGGTCCCCAAGTTCCCTTCAATGACAGAAGGTCCCACCCTCATACCGGGCTTTACACCAGGACACCCTGTGCCAGCCCCTGGCCCCTGGCCTCCTTGGCTCTGCCCGTTTCCTCTCTCCTGGGTCCTTCCCATCACCAGTGAGACAGACCTAGGCTTCAAAGAAAAATCAAACAAGCATATCCTCCTCGGATGTTCTCTTTCTTGGAATCACACTGTCCCTTTCTCCCTCCTGTAGCCAAACTTCATAAAGGAACTGTTTGCTTCCCTGCCTTCACTTTCCAATCTCAGAATCTCAGACTTCCCTGCGACACACACACACACACACACACACACACACACACTGCACACAGAATCCAACCCTCCAACCCCGAGATATTTATCACCCACCCAGGCTAAGTCTGGGGGTTTCTGGTCCTATGGGTTTCCTCCTCCTTCCTTGGATTCTGAGATGCCACGTGGCTGCAGCTCCCACCCATACACTCCGCTCCTCGAGAGCCTCCTTTGGGATTTTCTGCCTATGCTACAATCCTGCTCTGACCCTTTTCTCAAGGGTCTATGATCCCAGAATCTCTGACCACGACCATCTAGTCATGGTTGACTGCACCAGATAGAAATCAGGGGCCCAGGCTCCCAGGTGGAAGTGTCTTTGATCACATATTTCCTCCTGTGCTACCTTTTGAATTACAGAAGGTTCTAGTTCATCTCTTAGTCCTTGTCCTGGGCAGGCAAGTTGCCATGATGCTGGCCTGGACAAGAACAGAGCAGAGAAAGCCTGTTGGAGAGAATAAGCGACCACGTAGATCCTTCCATACAAAGCACCAGCCAGACCTTTGGCGTTGATTCCTTGTGAATCTCAGATGCCAGTTCTTCACCAAACCTGGAGGCCCTCTCTGGATTCCAGTCACCGTCTCCAAATTCACCAATAATTTTTCCCTTTTGTTCATACTAAACTTAACTCGTTTTCGTTCTTTGCAACCAAGCAGTTCCAAACACATCTCTTCTTCTTCTTTGGGCTCTCCAACACCGACATTCCTTAGAACGCCTTTCTGGAAACCGTTCCTCTGATATTCCCATGGAAATAGAATGCAAACCGCATGTGTGGTTTAGCTTCCTAGTAATTATTTTTCTTTTTTTTTTTCTCGAGCGGGCCCAGTAACGTCTCCATTGGAGACTTTGTTGTTACTGTGTCTGGCATATCGAATACTCTCGATAGCTTGTCGGGCTCTCCGAGAGGGGCGGAGGAATCGAACTCGGGTCGGCCATGTTGGCCGCTTGTAAGGCGAACGCCCTACCTGCTGTGCTATCGCTCCAGCCCAAAGGTAAAGGCCCTCCCGTTGATCGTCGATTTGCTTGAGCAGGCCCAGTAACGTCTCCATTGGAGACTTTGTTGTTACTGTGTCTGGCATATCGAATACGTCACGGGGAGCTTGCCAGGCTCTGCCGTGCGGGCGAGATACTCTCGGTAGCTTGCCGGGCTCTCCGAGAGGGGCGGAGGAATCGAACTCGGGTCGACCATGTTGGCCGCTTGTAAGGCGAACGCCCTACCCGCTGTGCTATCGCTCCAGCCTAGTAATTATATTTAAGTTAAATTTCTTTATAATAAAATTAACCAAGTTTATTTCACCCAGCATATCCATGTATTACCATTTCAACATGCAATCAATATAAAAAATTTTTTTTGGTTTGTGTGTGTATGTGCCTCTGTGTGTGTGTATGTGTGTGTGTGTGTGTGTGTGTGTGTACTATGGCTTTGGTCTCACAATCAATATAAAACTCTTTAATGGAGTATCTTATAACCTTCACTTGACACTCAATTGTCAATCTCTGGTGTGCATTTGTCAATTTGAACTATGTCAGTGATTAATAGTGACTAGGATTACCAAATTGAACAACTCAGACACATAACCCTCCCCTGGGGCTTTGATTAGCAGTACACAAAGCTAATTACTCTCAAGTCCCAAACTAGATATTTGAGCTTTGTTGCTCTCTTTATTTGAGAGAGATGTACTTGCATCTGTGAGAGAGCTTAATAAATGAGAAAGAGCATCAAAGAGAGAGATATCAACAGGCTGAGCACATGCAGGAGGTTTGATCTCCAAAACCTCATGGTACCTGGGTACCACCTGGTGTGGCCCCCAAACAAATCATTCAATAAACATGAAAGAGGTTATACTGCATCCTTGCTTTAAATTTTCAGTAATTTCTCATTAACATGAGGGTTCTGATCATCTATCATGCTGTAAACCTACCCCAATCTTTTTCTTTTGGGGGAGAGCACAACCAGCAATGCTCAAGGTTTACTCCTGGCTCTGCACTCAGGACTCATTTCTGGAAGTGCTCAGGGAACCATATGGGATGCCAGAGACCATACCTGGGTTGGCTGCATGCAAGGCAAGTGTCTTAACTGCTGTTCTACTGCTCCAACCCCAGCCTACCCCAGTCTTCTCTCATTGCCCTCTTTCTCATCCTCCCCTTCCTCTTGTCCTCTTCCATCTTTGCTGTTGTTTGTTTTGGGTGCTGCTGGGATCTATCCTAGGATTTCAGATACATGCGTGTCCTCTGCCACTCAGCTACATCCCAGTGGCTGCATTGCCCTTCCACCTTGTAGGACGAAATCCAGGCTCATTTAATCACTTTCTGAGCTGAGCACCCTAAGCTTCTCTGACCTCTACCCTTCACATAGGCCCATCACGGGACTTCTCCCCGCCCGCATCCTCGTGGAGTCAGCTGACAACAGGGTTACCAGGCTCACCCTAGGCTTGACTGGATCTCCACCAGGAAGATGCAGTGAACTGGAGGAGGAACACAGCTCCTCATCCACGTCCCCGTCTTTCAGGTGTTCAGAATTCTGGTCCAGCCACGATCACACATACACTGTCTCAGAAGGTGAAAGACGTGCTGGAAGTGGGAAAAAATAGTGTGGGGGGAGGGGTTGAGAAACATGGTCATATGGTCAGGACTCCTTGGGAACCGGGATGTGTGTCAGCTTACACTGACCACCCCATTCTGAACTTCATCCTCTCTTCCAATTTCTCATGCTCCCTTACTCCCTTCTCTCTGTCCCTAAGATGGGCTTCCAACTGGTTGATCGAATAACCAGCCAAGGTGGGGCCCTCCCTTGGACACTGTCCTCCTGCTGGGCCCCCTCATTGTTGGTTTCTTATTCAGACTTTAAACTGTAGTTTAGGATGACTTTCTAATTTTTGCATCCTCTGTTGGGGTCTTGGTGGTGGGGAGGGGGCATAGAAAAAACATGAATCAAAATGCTCATGACTTGGTCTTGGCTGAGAATGTGTCTCTGGGTCTGAGAGACAACAACTGGAGTTTGTCAGTCATCAGTCTTTCCTCCAGGTCAATCATTTCCTTTTGTTTGTTTGGTGTTTATTTTTTTATTTTATTTTATTTTATTTATTTATTTTGCTTTTTGGGTCACACCCAGCGATGCTCAGAGGTTACTCCTGGCTCTGCACTCAGGAATCACTCCTGGCAATCTGGCAGTGCTTGGGAGACCCTATGGGATGCTGGGAATCAAACCCAGGTCGGCCGTGTGCAAGGCAAACAGCCTATCCGCTCTGCTATTGCTCCAGTCCCCAATCATTTCCAACTTCTACTTGGGGACTATAATCTGGGCAAGAGTGTTTTCTTGGATTTGTTGACTTCTCTCTTTGAAAAGTCTCCCACAATGATACAACTTCAAATCACATAGTCAAGTCATTGAAAAGCCATTCATTTCACAGAATAAAATGATACATTATTGCATGCAGGAGCCTCTGGTTTGATGCCCAGCACAGCACAGTGCCCTGAGTACCCCTAGTTCTAGTCACTCTCCACCCCCCAAAAAATTATACAAAATCATGATATTGGGATGGAGCCATAGCACAGCAGAGAGGGTGTTTGCCTTGCACGTGGCTGACCCAGGTTGGATCCCCGACATCACATATGGTACTTTGAGCATCACCAGGAGTAATTCCTGAGTGCAGAGCCAGGAGTCACCCCTTAACTAGCATTGCCAGGTTGGTCCAAAAAGAAAAAAAAGGTCATTGGGCTGGAGTGATTGCACAGCAGGTGGGGCATTTGCCTTGCACACAGCCAACCCGGGTTCAATTTCCAGCATCCCATAGGGTGCCCCGGGCAATGCCAGGAGTAATTCCTGAGTGCAAAGCCAGGAGTATCCCCTGTGCATTTCTGGGTGTGACCCAAAAAGCGAAAAAAGAAAAAAAATCATGACATCTCAGAAAATCAAGGGAACATGATGACTTCTGGCATGGTGGAAGGAGCTGCAGAATTAAGAGAAATGAGGAATCTGATGTGTGCTCAGGGACAGTGCCCTG